TATACTTGCTATCAACCGGTTTGTTTCATTTTACATAGAACAAAATCAGAATTATATCTAATACCGATGTTTCTAACTGTACTTATTTGCCTCCCAGGTTGGAAGCAGATTTGGAGAGAGCACCCTAAAACTTGGGTCCATGTTGACCGATGGCCAAGTTGGCATATTTAAAGATAGATCAGCAGCTGCGATGTCTACATTTGGTGATATTCTACCTGCACAAGCTGCAGGTCTTCTTTCTTCCTTCGCTGCTTCCAGATCAGATTATTGATGTTCCTTCTAGATACATAATTTTGATTGACCACTAAAAAGAATTGAGCGTTCACGGGCATCAAAGAAGATACATGCAAGTTCAAGTTTTGAAGGATACTAACTCCAGAATCTGGATGAGGCATTGGGACTCTACAGCCCATGGACGAGTTTTTTTTTTTTTTTTTTTTTTTCTTTCGTGATAGGGAATCAAACTGCAATAGACCATCGACAGAGGCGAATCAAACTGCAATAGGAAGTGAGGCAAATTACAGGTACCAAGTCTCCAGCAAGATTTTCCGAGTTACATTTTTCAGTGTTTCTTACACATAAGTGCATATGGATAAGATTGTTCGATCATTCACGGACATAAATTGCCAAAGATCAATTATATATGGGACCAAAGAAATAATATATGGGGAGAGGGGGGGAATACTTTGAAATTTGTATGTACATGCAAAATTTTTCTCTGGCAGTTCACAAGGGCAAGGCTTTTACGTTTGGATTGGAAGGTGAAGGGCGTTGTTGGTTGGACTGTGGTTCATTATTTGTTTGGATTCATGCCATTTGTATAGGTAAACAATCTACTCTTTTCTTTTCTCCATTTCTTATAGAGAAAATATAATGTAATATGCTCTGTTTATGGTTAGCCAAGTTTTGTTTGTTGCAATGCAGCCGTCCGTACTATCATTAAGGGTAAAGGGTATCCTCCGATGCTCGCACACAATCACAATAATGAACGAGGTCTCAACCTTTTTCCATTTTCATTATCATTTAACACAACCTTGCTAGCGTTTTGTACATATCATATCGATTTTTTATATCATTTCACATATCGTTTATCATATCTTTCATGCATACGTCGGGGTTGCATTTTATGCTAGTTCGCCGTCTTGCATGTCAATCACATCGTATCATTCAAATTACATAACTATATCATATCATAACATTTCATGCTTCAGACATTACAATTTTCATAGTATGCATATCATACCATAACATATCGTATCACAATATATCATATCATAAATATGTCAATTATCACATACCGTGTACCATAACATGTTCCATATCATATCACAATATATATATATATTCGTCATTCACATGTCGTATCATAATCATATTATATTATAAACACTTCGTGATCATTTCGTTTCCCAACTTATCATAAGCCTTAACATTTTTATATCTATCACAGTCATAATGTTACATGAACATACCTTAGTCATATAATCACAAAAACGTATCCTAACACTATCGTTCTATCAATCTATTATAAACCATCCCTTTTTACCCATAACCTAACCATATTCTTTATCAATCGATTGTGACCATATTGTTTTTATCGATCTCTCATATCCATAACACTTCGATACGTAACATAACCTTAACGTTTTATGAACGCATCTTACCCTTATCATTACATTATGCTTAGTGCATCATTCTCTTATCCTATCCCAAACATAACAGTGAGCACATCGTACCATAAGTATTATCACACAATTCACATTATAACATACACATATCATATTGTAAGCATATCGATCCATGAACAATTCACACATATCAATATTTATGACACGTGCAAAGCTGTAGGGCACATGTCAACATCAAACATAACCATGCCAATATAAGATCACTTACTTGGATAGCATTAGCTGAAGTTATATCTAACTCCAAACTATCTTGTTTAAGAGTCATGATACCGAACCAAAATTCTTTTTCACTAGGAAACTCTTTAAATTCTTTTTCACTAGCTTCTTTAAGAGTCATGATACCGAACCAAAATTCTTACCAGGGTGTCGGTCCAATAGAATAAAGAATGAGAATAAAATTGTCAAATTTGGAACGGACTCCATATTTTGTCCTCATTCATAATTGAAGTAAACACAACAATCGAAAAGTACTTCACATTTTTTATTTTCATTCCCGGTTAGTAAATGCATCATTCCTTTTCCAATCAATTTCTCAGTTAGCCTACACTTCTTTCCTAGTCACGATCCCGACCGAAAGATCGACAAGAAAGAAAGGAAGTTCTACTTGATGTCCAATGGAAATTCCAGTTAGGGTCTGGAAGTTGATTGGGAAAGGAAGACAATGAGTTTTGTGAAGACTCATTAACTTCTTGTTCCCATTTGTTGGAACACAAAATCATGCATAAAAAATTGATCCAAACTCAATGGGCAATGCTCAGTCAACATCGACTCGTAATTGTTTGGACTATTCTAAGTACGCACGAAAGACATTGATAATGAAACAAGAATCTGATAAACGTAGATTCCTTTATCAAGTGATATATATGAGGCGGGCAAGGCGGGATGATATATATATGAGGTGGGCAAGGCGGGATGGAGATTTGGACAAGGTAGGAAACGAGAAATATAATCTCAATGCAATTAGTTTCGACCCCTTTCAAGAAATCATGAGTTTGACGTAATTACTACTAATAAAAACGGAATGTGTAGGCGTTAGAATGAGATTACTATATTTTAATCATAGCATTAAGGATAAAAGTTTTTAGAACTTGGGTTCAATGCGGTGAAGGTAGCCCTAATATACTTCATCGAGCTTACAATGACGGGGAGATGGAGAATGTAGAAATTTGTGGGTTTTTTTCGTGAAACCCAAACAACGTAAATCTATTAGTGAGTTTGCTTAACGTATTTTTTCGCTCACGTTTTCTAAAATATTTCTTTCAAATGTGACTCGAATCTCAAGCATATGCCAATCTTATCCGCGAAATCTAAATCTCACACAACTAATTTGTTCGTTGGATTAGAACCATCAATATACATATACACATATATATGTATGTATATACACACATATATATACACATATGTATGTATGTATATATGTATGTATATACATATATATCTATATAAACATATAAATATATATACATATACATATATACATATATATACACGGATGTAGTTGCAAGTTTCAATTAGCATATAAATTTTATGCTCTCAAACTTTAAGTTATGTTTCGAGATATAACTCGAAAAATTAGATTAAGTATAAAAAATATTTCAACCCGACCCAAATTTACCCACAACCGTTATTATTTACATGCCATATTGAAAATAAATAATAATATATATATATAGAGAGAGAGGTGAGGGCAGAGAGTGTGGCAGAGAATAGGAGGATGGGTCATTTCACAACACGACATTACATACACTTCAATTCCTCCTGACATCAACAAAACTCTCCATATTAATGCATTACCAAACCCTACTTCTCTCTCTCTCTCCCTATTCAATTCCCGCTTCTAAATCTCGAGACACCTTAAGTTAACATGATCATAGCTCAATTCACACTCGTTTCAATCTTTTGTATACTTCAATTGACACTCATTCAAATCTTTTACCCAATATTTATCGAATCTAGACCAAAATTAGGTTAAACTATACTCTAATACTTCATAAAAATTTATCTATGAAAACGAAACGTTTTCATTGATGCTAAGAGATTGTTCGTTTGTATATCACTATTGCAGAATGACACGTTGCAACTTTTCTCTGTCTCTCTTGAGCTTATAAGAGGATAAGACCCCATTATTCAAGTCCCGAAATCAACATTCAAGGAACTACTCATTTACTTCCCTTCGTGGGGGACGAGTGAATTTCATCTTATAAAATTATGTTCCCAAATCCTCATAGAAAGGAGTATAGAACTCAGTCGCATATTTATCATCTTGTGAAATATTAATCTTTTCAATCAATTAAATTATAAAATAAAGATTAAATATTAAGCGATCTAGTGTTATAAAAACTCATACATACACATGAATTATTTGGATAAAATTATTTGAAATAATTACAAAGTGAATCATATCAATACGGCGAAGAGGATATGACACCCAACATTATTTTCTATATACTATATGAACGACGTAGCGTAATAAAATAATAATTAAAATAAAGAAAAATAAATATAGAAAATAGTGAATATATACAATAGTGATAGGTGGTCACCATCTTTAGATGCGGGGGCGTTGTGAGAGTAAGCGAAATGATTTCCCGGCGAAGAAGTAGAGGAAACCCTAAGCCCCACACATAATCACAATTGCCTTAAAAGCATGACTTTACCAACCCTTAACTCAACCCCCTTTTTATTTAATTAATTAACTTGCTTTACTCTAACCCAACTTCCACTTGAATCGATACCAATCCCGAAAACGCTTACATTTCCAATGCTTTCGATTCAAACCCATGTGATATCATCGTCACCCAACACATAAAATCGTCCAAATTTAAGTCACGGGTCTGTTTCGTGTCCAAATAGTAAGATATTGAATAGAAAAATCAGTGTTTTCAAAATTGCCCTGAAACTCAAACAAAAAGAATTAATCAATAGGCTAATTCTTCATCGGTTTGTTAGTATGGAGTTCGAAGTATCGATAAAAGCTCGGGATCCCAAGTATTAAAATATTTGACTTAAAAAAAGAGAAAGAAAATGAAAAATTAAATAATTTCATGCATGCATGGATGGAATGCAAAGTGATTAGAATAATTTGAAAAAGAAAAAAGAAAAAAAAAGGGTTTGGAAATCCCAAGACATTGACAAAGGAGAAAAAGGGAAGAAAAAGAAAAGATTGAGAGATCTGTCCCCAAGTTGAAGTCAAAGAATGATGGAGACAACTCCCTTTACTCATTCTTATTCTCCTTCTTCCCCATTCTCTCCTTTTTAGGGAAACTCCCCCTTCTCTCTCCTCTTTCTCTCTCTTAAAACCACCCCCCCGTTCTTCACACTCATCTCTAACCTCTCTCTCTCTCTCTCTTCTTCTTCTTCTTCTTCTCGCCAGATCCAACTTCACAAGGTACACTTCCTGTTTCTTTGATCGTTTTCAGCCGTTTTTAGTCTTTGATTTTCGATTCTTCTTACAGAGGAGGAAGAGGAGGAAGAGGAGGAGGAGGAGGAGGAGTTGGAAGATGGCATCCACCTCCTCCAATTCGCCCTGTGCTGCTTGCAAATTCCTCCGCCGTAAATGCCAACCGGAATGTGTTTTCGCGCCCTATTTCCCGCCGGATCAGCCTCAGAAATTCGCGAATGTTCATAAGGTATTCGGCGCTAGTAATGTCACTAAACTTCTCAACGAATTGCATCCTCACCAGCGGGAAGACGCTGTTAATTCTCTCGCTTATGAAGCCGATATGCGTCTCCGTGATCCTGTTTATGGCTGTGTTGGAGTAATTTCTCTGCTTCAACATCAACTCTGTAAACTCCAAATGGATCTCACTTCCGCTAAATCCGAACTCTCTAAGTATAAAACCCTAGGCATTGGGAACCCCGCCGCTCTGATTTCTTCGCCTTCTCCTCTTACTGCACAGCGGAACCACCAGCCGACGTTTAATTTTGGTAGAGATCAACCTCATAGTCTCTGTTACGATCAATTTTTCCCTCGCGATCAACAACAACAACAACAACAACAACAACAACAGATGATGCTCCGACGAAGCTTCGACGGTGGTACTAACTACGATGGACTTTTGGCCGTCAATGTCACCGTCGGTAACCTTACCCACCCGTTCCAGCAATCTCGCGCCGCTGCTGGAGACGATCGTCGCGGAACTCTCGACCATTCTTAGGGTTTGGTTTTCTTTTCTCTTTCTTTTTTTTCCCCTTTTTTTCCTGAAAAAAAACCATAAACTGTTGCGGAAAAACGTGATTTTCCTGCTAATTTATATATATAACAATAAAATTATTATCTATTTTTGTTTTTATTATTGTGGTCCTCCAAATTTTTCTTTTTCTTTTTCTAATAAATGAAATTATTAGGGTAATAAAACCTATGTATTTATTCATTTGAAAATAAATAATAATAATAAAAATAATATTATGAGTAATTTTTAGTCAGAAAAAGGGTGGAAGTATTCATTATTATTCTTTTTGTTTGGTACATAATATTAATGATATTACTGTTGTATGTATGTTTCTTTCTGTTGCCTCAAATGGTGCTTTCATAAATGCATATCTCATTTGCCCTACCTATATCACCTTACTATTTAGCCCTTTTATTCCCGATAATTTGCAGAACAGGAGAACAGGATACCGAGTGTTCATACGTTTGGTTTGGTCGGTCGTAAATTTTTTTCAACTAAAACAACCCTTATTATATAATAAACTAACCCGATAGATATTTATTTACAATTTGATTTGTTTTCATTAAATAATTATTATTATGGAATTAAATAAATATATGTATATATAATCGTGTGGGGTATTTAAAATTAATAAATTTAGGTTTGGTTCAATCTAATCTAGTTTTAATAAATGTTTATTTTAATTTTGTATAATAATTACTTAATATTATGTTATTTTAATAAAATGAAATTAGTAGAATAATTAGATAAGTATTTGAAGTAGAATGTAGTAAATTAGGGAGTTTAATAATTTATTAGAAAATTTAGAAATATAATATTTAAAACTTTAAAGAGGGGGCTAAGATATTTATAAATATTTAGTTTTATAATAGAAGCATATTTTTGTAACCATTGATTCACATACAATACAATAATTTCACTAATTATATATTGGGGATTCAAAATTAAAATATAAATTATTATCATTTATGTTACAAAATATGCTAATATTATCTTTCAAGACTAATACCGAATTTTTTTTAAAGTGAAATATACTAAATTTTTACCCAAGTAGGGACATGTTAATGCCCTAATCAGCACCATGGAGGAAGAAGAGAGACAAAAAAAAGAAAAAAAAAAGTTAGGGTTCTGGAGAGAAAAATAGAGATACCACTTTAGAGTTGAAATTTTGTCGGATCCCAGGGCTCAATTTTGGACCGTCGGTGGAAACTACCAAGCTCGAGTACGATAGCGGCAGAGGAAATTTTCGGTGGAGCGGTGAAATGCGTAGAGATTGGAAAGAACATCAACGGCGAAAACACTTTGTTGGGCCAATACTGGAAAGTATTTATTTTATTCTATAGTTGAAAGATGGATTAACATTCTACAACTTTGATGAAGAAACAATGTTGATTTGAATTACGAAAGTTACAAATATTTGAAGATTAGAAAAAAAAAACTTATGAATTTGGAGAAAATATGTAGAAATGTGAGGAGGATGAACGGTCGGAAAACACGTGTCAAGTGGAGGGGCGGTGAGTGTGTCTGACAAAGGGTTGGACACGTGTTGGATTCTAAGTGGTGCGATGCATCCGTTCTATAGGGATGACGCGTGTTGGGAAGATTCGACCTGACTCGTCTCCTTCATTCGACTTGTACGCGACTTGGTTCAGCACCCGCAACCTGATCCATCCATTTGACCTAACTCAATCTTGCACACCAACAGGAACACACCACATATCATTACGAGAATAATCGCAAAAATTCTTACACTACTGAGAATCGAATGCACGTCGTGGGATTTGATATGTCCAATCAACGCGTGCCACATGTCACACATCAGGCACGACTTTTTTGCCTTAGGCATGTGGTACTTGCGCATGAGGGTCGCATGTGGTGAACCTATACTCACGTGTGAGGGTGTGTGCAAGGAGAGCTTTATTCCATTTAACCTTTGTTTGTGAGTATTTTGTCTCGATTTTGATACTAACCCTAATTTTGCTCGAATTAAGACCTACGGAAAAAAATTTAGAAATTTTGGAACCTCTAACACACAGAAAAAAGCTAGCTCATGAAAGCACGAGTCATCTATGTAAGTAGCCATACGGACTTTAAGCAAGTAATACTTGTAGGGATTGCTAAAACGTGCAAACATGCAACATTCCTTACATTAGGTAGTCTGAAATGCATGTTTAGGACTACAGAATGGTAATTTTGGATCTGTATACATTGTTTGCATGCTATGAAAATTTAACGTAATGCCCCAAAGAAGAGATTACAAGATGCAAGTTGGACAACATCGACAAGTAAACTATGTAAGATGTAAAAAATTACCAAAATACCCCCTGAGATAAGATTTGTGATGAATGCTATTTTAAATTCTTTCCATTGTGTTATAAGTGAGGATGGACTATACCTCGTTAGGACTTGCGTGTTTCTCGTGTTGTATGCTTTTAATTCTCGTGAAATTTTGTCGTGTTGTTGTACTTTTATTTTAATTTTAATTTTTACTTTTATTTGCCTTCGTCTTGTCTTTGAATCACAGTTCGAGATTCGAAACCTTGAAAATCGGATCGTGACAATGCACGTCTTATAGGAAATTCATGTCATGAAAAATATGAAAGTATTGTATATCATAGCTCATGTACCATGATTTTAAATGCACGACCTCATACATGTATGCCTTTTATTTGCTTTCATCTTGTCTTTTAGTCACGGTCTGAAATTCGAAACTCGAAAATCGAGTCCTGACCATGCATGTTTTATAGGGAATTCATGTCACGAAAAATATGAAAGGGTTATGTGCTTCATAGCTCATGTACCATTATTTTAAATGCAGGACCTCGTATATGATTGTCACAAGCATGACTTACTTATCTAATATATAACATGCGAACATGCACACCACGATATGATACACATTTCTTTCTTATGGTTTTTGTGTATATTAGCCCGTAGTTAGACATAGTGTAACTGTCACGATCAAATTTTCGAGGTTCCGTGTAACAGTTCAAGTTCACTGTTAGCAAATAATGTCCGCTTTTGCCCGTTACGTATTGTTATCAGCATCACGGTTTTAAAATGTGTCTATTATGAAGAGGGTTATACTCTAATTAGTGTCTCGCACCTTCCAGTGACTGGCTCTGATACCATTTGTAACAACTCATGTTCACCGCTAATAGATATTATTCACTTTGGCCCGTTATGTATCGTCGTCAGCCTCACAGTTTAAAAACAAGTCGGTTAGGGAGAAGGTTCCACACCTTTATAAGGAATGCTTTGTTCCCCTCTCCACTGATGTTGGATCTTACAATAGCAAATCAGAGTGGCGCTGCGGAAGCGTGGTGACCCCATAACCCACAGGTTGAAACTTGGCAGCTTTGATATTATTTCTAAACCCGAAACCTAGCTCTGATACCATTTCTACACAGCCCAGATATTATTTCTAAACCCGAAACCTAGCTCTGATACCATTTCTACACAGCCCATCTATTCTACGCAGGATGTTTTGTTTTCATGAGCGAAATAAGTATCTATTAATATTGTTTACTAATATTAACACAATTTTTCCATAGAAGTGTTGGTTTTCCAAAACCAAATTTACACCATTACTTTACCTTTTATGGCTTCTTTAACACTCTGTGCCTTCTAAATTAACACTATAAATAATCACAGTTCTTAATTTTAAAAAACACACCCTTCTCAGTTATTAATCTCCTACAACTAAAAATATTCACAAAAGAAATTTAAAACACATGGCAACTCATAAGCTTGTTACGATGTTCATGGTTATCCTCATCATTTTCTCTTCTTTTGTATCCTCAGGTATGCTTTGATTCATAATCTTTATTTTTTTATGTGTTCTTTTGTTAGAATAATATTTCAGGCAACCTTAATCTTTGGTAATATGGCAGCCAAAGGAGACGTGTTCATGAATTGTATTGGACCGTGTTCTGACACTTACGATCACTATTCATGTTATAATGATTGTGTGGAACAGAATGAAGGTGCTGGATTTTGTTATCCCAAACTGGGAGACGATTCTAATGAAAAAGATTGTTGTTGCAATTATTGATCGAGGAAAGAAAAACATTTCGATTTTTTTAATAAGATTGTGTAGTTTTTCGCTAAAACATTTTAATAAACTTGTTCTACTGAATTTGTGAAAGTAAAAGGATTCGGTATAAATCGTTAAAATAAGAATCCATGGATGTTGTTTAGAAGTGTTGGTTAATAAAATTATCTACTAAACTTATGATTAGTTTTAGGGTCGTGACTTGGTTTTTTAAGTTTTAAATTACGGATCATGATGTGAATAAATGAATCGAAAATGAAAAAATTTGTAAAATTTTGTGCAAATTTAGAAATAAATAACATCACGTTTAAAAGATAAAAACAAAAACATCTACAAGAGTTCGATCAACTTGGACCTAGTCGATTTCAATAGACAACTCCTGTGCGACTTGCACTTTAGCCTACCACCCAATCACCCCTCTACGCACGACTTTGAGTCGTTTCTCGGTTTCTCATTGACTCTAACTTGACTTATTTGACTTAGACGACTCAGTTTTTAGCTAATTTAATATGTTTAGAGCCATTTTTAATCAAATAGGATAGCTAGGTGGAGCTAATTTCTTGAATATGTTCTAATTATGATATCATGGAGCACCATAGGTGGAATCAAACCTTGACATGATCCGACTATTGTAGACTATGAAAATTTTGTGATATCTGCTTAAGTCAACCGGTAATGAGCTTATTGTTGGAGCGCCTACAAGTTAGGCTAGATATCAATTGATGTATGAATTGCATGTAAACTCGTCACCTATGCAAAATTTAACCCTCGTTTCCATTCAGCTAATGGCTAATGGGGAGAAAACGCTTTCTACTCCCTCTCATTCCTCATTGAAACAAAGACTCGCCACTTCGTTTGAGACATGTCTCTACCGATTAAATAGATCTTATTAAAAAATAAAAAAAAATAAATAAATAAAAGAACTAAATGGTTACCATGTGGGAAAAAAAATCCTTCTAGTAAAATTTTAAGGTATGCTTGAGTTGAATTTGATACGATCTCTGATATGATATCTAATGCCATAAAATGTTCTTTAGTCAAATTCAAATATGTTTTGACAAAATTTT